GATTCCCTTATATTCAGGTGCCCCTAATTTAGGAAACCCCCAGCTGAACTGCCACGGCCTCTTTTGGGGAATCTCTGGGACTATTGAGGCCTTCCGGGGTGCCCTAAACCCTAAACCCTAAACCCTAAACCCTAAACATCCTACACCTAAACCCTAAGGGGCCCCCAAGAAGCTAGCCTGGAGGAGGGGCTGGGACACCAGCGGCCGTTAGGCATCCAAACTGTTAAGCTCGTTTGAGTTTGGGGAGTTACCGTGTGGCAAACATACTTGAGGCTTCAATGGGCAGAGATAAGCTAGGGTGATTGCCTTCGCTACCCTAAACCCTAAACCCTAAACCCTAAACCCTAAACCCTAAATCTCTACGGTAAGTAGGCTAAGGGCTACTTTGAACCAAACTGATGAGCTGCCCATGCAACCTTTCAAGTAGCCTTCACAGCACAACTACCCGTGAACATTGAAGTACCCTCTTCCCTAAACCCTAAACCCTGAACCCTGAACCCTGAACCAGGGCCCAGGGCTTTTAGAATCTTGAGCTGCTGTTTACGCAATCCCTCGAAGCTTCTCAAGGGTGTTCGGTTCAGGGTTGAGGGTGCCTGCGTACCAAGACGGGCTCTAATGCCCTCTAGCCCCTCAACAAAGGCCCTTCAAGACGGGCTATAGCCCTATAACCCCTCAACAAAGGCCCTTTCTGGGGTTGATTATGGGGATTATCGGCCCTAGCAGCCCATACTCACAAAAGGCCCTTTGTAGGGTTGATTATGGGGATTGTCGGGCCCCAATAGCCCACATCACCACTCAAAAAAAGACCCTTTGTAGGGTTGACTATGGGGATTATAGGCCCTAATAGCCCATACTCACAAAAGGCCCTTTGTAGGGTTGATTATGGGGATTCTAGCCCATACACTCATAAAAGGCCCTTTGTAGGGTTGACTATGGGGATTATATATAGGCCCTAAATCGCCCATATAACCACTCACAAAAGGCCCTTTATAGGGCTGACTCTGGGGATTACAGGGCCCTAATCTCCCAATCTTGGTAAAAGGCAGCAGAGGCACCTCTGGCAGCCTCTCCCTCGCGGACAACGCGTCTCTGAGCCGAAGGAGGGGCGCGGCAGCCGGGCAAGGAATTCTTCGGTTTAGGGTTTAGGGTTCAGGGTTTAGGGTTTAGGGTCAGGGTTTCGGATTAGGCTTTGTGGCTTTGGGATTCGCGGTCGCAGTCCGATCCCCTATCCCACACCCCCACGCACTAGGCACAGTTCACGCTCTCCACCCTAGACACTGTCTTGCTTAAACCTGGCCCCCCGCAGCGACAGGGCAGTGTTCGCCACCCAGCAGGCGGAGTCGTAGATGGCTGTCAGGGCCTCAAACGCAAGCCAAAGGACCCTCTGGGAGTTTCAACACCATAGTCCTGATGGTTTAACAACGCCTCTGCATGCACCTTCCTAAGCCTTACAAGGGTCTTTCCCAAAAAAGGGCGTACCCCTTCTATACCCCAAGTAGTATAGAATCCCCTGAAGGGGCCCCCCAAAAAGGGTACCCCTATTTTCGGAAACCATATGAGGTCCGGGGAATTGGAACGCCATCCCTCGGGGGCGGCCGTGGACTGTGCTGCAGGGACAGTCTTGGACACCTGTGGTTAGCTACAAGGCTTCATCTAGTCTTACACCCTTTGAGCTCCACAAATGCGGCCTCTTCGTATCCTTCTTTGAAGGGTGCCGTGCGATGTAGGGGACCCCAAAACAGGGGGAACCGACAACTGCCCACTGAGGACCCTAATTTAGGCAACTGCCCTCGTTTGGGGCTTCGGATGCTGGGTGTAGGCCAGGCAGCTCTGTCAGCGGCCGCTTCCGCATTTGATGCGAACTGCTCCTCAGCACAGGGCGCAAGCACGTTGGCCGCCAAGAGTCCAGGGTTTAATCGCTCACGCGCGAAGCACACCATGGGACATTAGGGTTTAGGGTTTATGGTTTAGGGCCCCTACAAGCATTGCCCAAGCAGCTGCCCAAAACGTATAGAATACTCCATACCAAATTACAATCTTCTTTCTGACTGAGTTCCATGAGCTAAGCGTAGTCTGAGTGACGGATGCTCAGGGTTTGGCCATTGCCATAAGGGTCCACGTACCATATTACTGTATACTTGGGCCAAAAGAGCCCCTAATTATATAGGAGGTATACATTAAGGCCCAAGTATTCCCTTTTTAGGTGCATGGACCCTTAGGGTTTAGGGCTCAAAGGGCTGAGGGAGCCCAAGCCCAAAACAATGGATCCAAACCCTTTTGACCCCGCGCGCTCTGACGTGGGACCCTAAACCCTAAACCCTAAACCCTAAATCCGAAACCCTAAGCCCTAAACCGAAACCCTCAAGCCAAAAATCCCGCCTCTGTCCACATCCAGGAATCTGCAGTCCGTGCTGACGGTGGGTCGGCCTCTAACTTTTAGGGTCCTTAAGGGACAAGGGGTTCATGGGAGGTAGGTACCTAGGGAACGTTAGGGAAGCTTAGGGAGTCTTAGGGAGGCATAGGTTGTAGTGGTCAGGAACCTTTGGGTTACATGACCCCTACTCTAAACCCTAAACCTCGCTTGAACCCACCAGGCTTTAGGGTTTAGGGTTGAGGGTTGAGGGTTTAGGGTACCCTAAACCCTAAACCCCAAACCCCTCTTGAACCCACCCTCCCTTGAGAACCCTATAAGCCTCTGTTTGCTGACAGACAGGAGCTTGAAGTTACTTTGGGTTTGGTTGTTGTTTGGGGTGTACAGGTTCGGGTTGAGGGTTTATGGGGTTTGTAAGGTTTAGGGGGTTTCGGTCTAGGTGTTTCTTGGGCTTTGGCCTTGAGGAGAGCACGCAGTTTCTCCATGCTCCAGCAGCAAGAAGTCAGCATGGAGAAGAGGGTTTCGTGTTTGGCACGCGCTCTCTGCTAGCAGTCCACAGGGTTTGTAGGGTTTCGGGTTTAGGGTTTGCTCTTGCGTTCGGATTTCCCAGGAGTCGCCTAGCCTTCAGATTTGGGGATCTTCTTCTGATGGCAAAGTGAGCTTTTGCTCCGGCGCATGCAACAGCCGCAAGCGAAGATGGTAACCGGCAGAACTTGGGGTGTTCCCCCTTATACGAACAGTCCTTAACAGGGATTCCAATAGGGGGTACTATAGTCCCTGTTAAGGACTGTTAGAAGAAGGTAAAGCGGTCAACGGGCTCCCTAATCATTCACACAATGGTGCTCCCTTCTATGCTTACCCCATAAAGCTACTCTTTGGGAACCCCTTTCAGGCCCAAGTATATACTACATCCCTAGGACCCCAAGTATACAAATAATCCCTACATTGGGGTCTCAAGCCTGTAAACAACACCTACTTTGGGCTATTCTGAGCCTTACAGGGTATAGGTACATGGATCCTTTGGCTTTTAAACTAGACCTGGGAGTAGCCTAGGAATAAAAAAGGGAACCCCAACCCTAAATCAAGGAAAAAAGTGCCTACTCCCAGTCCTACTAAAAGGCCAGGTTAGTTTCATGACATCGCCGAGCCCAAGGGTGCCTTGCCTCGCCTTGCAAAGAACGGCTTAATTAGACTTCAAGAGATGTACGCGTCACAGAAACAAAAGCTGCAGCAGACCCTACACCCTAAACCCTAAACCCTAAACCCTCCGAACCCTCCGAACCCTCCGAACCCCGAACCCTCAACCCTAAACCATGCAAAGCCCGAAGCCCGACTTGACATCTCCTTTTTCCTCCAGCACTGTTAAGGACTTCGATGGATCGTGGAGTACCGAGGAAAGGACCTGAGCTCTGAAGGGCAACTTTTTCTTTCTTGGTATTCAGTGTTGTATTCAGAATTCAGGGTTCAGTGTCAGTATTGGGGCCTTAGAGTTTCGGATATCCAAGGTTTAGGGTGTTTTTTGCCAACCCGTATTCAGAACTCAGGGTTTAGGTAGTACGGGTTTAGTCAGGTTTAGGATTTAGGGCAGTTAGGGTGTAGGTTCGTTGTTGATGTGCCAGATGTAAATTTTTGAGTCTGGGCATTGCAACGTTGAGGCCGGAGAACGAGCCGGCTTTACTCCAAGCAAAAACAACCTCAGAAACACCTAAACCCGAAACCATGAACCCTTCCGAACTGTCATAAAGTTTCGAACCGCGCTATATCACCAGATCACCCCCCTAAACAATGAGGGATATTGGGATACCCATATGGGGTCGGTTGGAGGAAGCGGCCCAAATCTTCCAAAACCCCATAATTAAGGTACATACCCTAATTTATACTAAGGATCATGATTATGAACTAAGGTATATCCCTGCATTAAGGGTACCTCCTCAACATGTCCCACACCTGCAGCGCACCTTGGTAAGCCGGTATTACCATGTCATAACAAGGGCGCCCCTTTTTTGGGGTTGGTTACTTTATCAGGGAACCTTGAACCCCCAAACCCTAAACCCTAAACCCTGAACCCTGAACCCTAAACCCTAAACCCTAAACCACTGTGCCACCAAGGCACAAATCCTAAACCCGAAATTGGCCGGGCGAGCTTTGAGAAGCCTTCATGGCCAGCCCTCGCCTTATGATCCTTATGTGGCCCTAAACCCTAAACCCTAAACCCTAAACCCCCTGTCTATGGAACCGATCTCATGAAGGGCTGCAAGCAACCTCCCTGAAAGCTGAAGGGAAGCAGGCACCTTCAATCCACCTGAACTAGTCGCAAGGTCTCGGCACCACGGCCGCCCGCGTGCTGGAATTCTCATGCTTCTGCGCGGCCCGATATACACATTTTTTGGCAACAAGCCTGTGAGCAATCCCCGGCGCTAAGCCCTCAACCTCAACCCTACCCCCACTATGGCTTAATTACAGCGTGGGTTGCCCTTACTTGAGTGCACACCCATACGCGAGACAATATGCGGCGGCACCCGAAATGTCCGTGGCAAAGCGCAAGGAGAAGTCGAACCCTCAAGCCCCAAACCCCACCCAAAACCCTTAAACCCTTTACAGCCTGTATGTCAAAAAGCCAAGGGGCTGTTCACTCCGGGCTCTTGATGCCGACGGCGGACCTGTCTGCTCTGGGTTTATGATTTTTGGGCTCTGCGGGTGGGGAGGATTTGGGAAGGGTCCCTAAACCCTCTAAACCCTCTAAACCCTCTAAACCCTCTAAACCCTCTAAACCCTCTAAACCCTCTAAACCCTCTAAACCCTCTAAACCCTCTAAACCCTCTAAACCCTAAACCCTATACCCTGCTTGCGAGGGGGTTTTGGGCTTCGGGCTGTGGAGGGTTGTCGTGTGTTACGGCCTGTGGCTTAGGGTCGCCCCTAAACCCTAACCCTAAACCCTAAACGTCTGAACCTTGTAAAAACCTACAAGTGGAGTTTCCTGCAACAGGGGCCCCGGCCCGAATATGCCCCAACATACGACAATCCCTTCAGTGGGAAGCCCCTCCTTCCCCCCCCCAAAAAAAAAAAACAAAAAAACAATAAAACTGATCCCTAGGAACCCTGAAGCCCAAAACCCTGTTTTCAGGAGAAGCTGCCAAAGCCTAGCCCTGGACCCGCTGCACAGGACTCACGCATCAGGAAGCCACTGCACGACTACTGCACGCGGCTGCCAGTCGGGCGATCTGCATACATCTGACGCCAGGTCTCGTAGCGCTCATGTGAATGGATTGCACTGGCATCCACAAGGACAAGCCCCTATAAACCCTTTGTGCAGAAACCCTCTAAACCCTAAACCCCCTAAACCCCTAAACCCCTAAACCCTAAACCCTAACCCCCCACCCACCCACCCACCCCCGATGTTGGGTAACCTCCCCCATGATACTCAGAAGCCCTGGGCCCCTGCTGCTGGCCTGTGACCCAAGCGCGCGGGCCGTCCGACCGGCTTCCGCTTTTCGGAGGTGGAGGGCACCTAAACATGGGGGGGAGGTATTTTGTGTAGGGTTTAGGGTTTAGGGTTTAGGGTTTAGGGTTTCAACTCTCACAACTATAGTTTAGGGTTTGGGCATATAGGGTTTGCAGGAATCTCGCTTTGGGGTTTCGACGCTAGCCCGGCTTAGGTTTGGTCTATGCTCCGCACTTGCACCAGAGCTGAGCTATGCCAGCATTTCCGGTACTCCAGGTACTACAGCCCAGGCACATGTACTTTTCAGGCACTTCAGCTGTTACGGCTCAAAATCGCGTAGTGATCTCGAGCCGGTGTAACCCCTGAGGCTACTGCATAACCAAAGCATCTCCTGCCATGGAGAGCTCTATAACCTGTCAACGTCTGGGTAGATCAATAAAAAAGATGTTCGTCCGCATGATGTCTAAAAATGCATAGGTAGTATCTATACTTCTATCCTACATACAGACCCTAAACCCTTCGCGCTTATCCAACCCTGCACCTTCCCTTGCCGGCGGTCAAGGAGCCCATGTCTCCACGCTCGGCACCTCCAACTCCAACACCCGCGTGTGCGCGGGTGCGAGGCGCCGGGTCCTCTCAATTGGGGCCCGGGGGGGCGGGGGCGGGGGTTCCGACCAGCAGGGGTTCCCTATAGTTAGGGTTTAGGGTTTAGGGTTTAGGGTTTAGGGTTTAGGGTTTAGGGTTTAGGGTTTAGGGTTTAGGGTGTAGGGTTTAGGGTTTAGGGTTTAGGTTTAGGGTTTAGGGTTTAGGGCTTGGAGGGTCATTTCAAGGGTGACCCTGCTATATTTCGCATGGTGGTTTAGGAGCTCGGAGAAACCTTCATTCGCTCCCAATTGGCTTGGGAGACCTTCCGAGTTTGAGGGTTTGGGTGCAGAGACGCTTTTTCTATATGGGACATCAAACCCTAAGCATGGATTTGGGGGGGGTCTTTCACTTCTCGATGCTCGCTTTGATTGAGGTTTCGGCCTGCCGCGTTCCAAGAGTTCCTGCGTGCATGTTTGGGCTCGACATCAAACTGCAGCACCCAAAGAGCCCAATATCCCCTAATTAAGGAGTATTGCTTCAGGATCCTTGATATGATTTAAGGTCTAATATGATGTAAGGTCTATTCCTTGATTAAGGGGTATTGGGCTCGTTGGGCATGGCCCCGAAAACCCCCTTGAGACTCAGTCCGACCGCGTGGGGACTGGAAATTCCCTCCTGGACAAGGTGAGCAGTGCCGTCTCTGCCGGGAGTTGCTGCAGCAGTCGGCACGCGTCCTGCCACCGCCCCAACGGGATATGACGGGATGGTGGTAACTGGCAAAGGGCACATTGGGCTACTATCGATGAGCACAACAGCCCCACCCCTGCCCACCCCACCCCCACTCTAAACCATCCTTTTTTCAACCCGTGCTGAGGCCGAGGCGTGTAAACCATCCTAAACCCTGAATGAAAACCCAAACCCTTTTTGCATCCAGGTCTCATGTACTGAAGAGGAGAAACTCGTGTTCACCCCCTAAAGAATAGAAAAACCCAAACCCTAAAAACCCTTTTTGCAACCAGGTCTCTGCAGCCAGACCCTGAACCCTAAAACTCTTTCAGCCCAGACTCTTGTCTCCCCCTTTTTTTTCTCCGGAGGGGGCCTCTGAAGCCCCCTTATTTTCCTTTTTGCATCCCGGCCACTTCCTGTTTTCCCACAGCCTCCGAGGGGGTCACGGCGTCTCTCTGTCAAGCCCACCTTACCGGCCTTTAGTAGGGACTGGGCTGACGTTGGAGGCTATAATGCTACACTTTTACTTCTATAAGGGGATTATAGTATCCCAACAAGTGTAACGTGTGCACACTCAGCGACTAAGCCAAGAGGTACCCACTCCCCCTAAACCCTAAACCCTAAACCCTAAACCCTAAACCCTAAACCCTAAACCCTAAACTAAGAATCCGCAAGCCAGGCTTGCCCAGCCTCGGCTTCGAGATTTGCCAGGGGCTCGTCCAGCACCGCCAGGCCAGGGCCTGAGGAACCGTTGCGGAGGCTCATACTGCCTAGAGTAGGGTTTAGGGTTTAGGGTTTAGGGGTTTAGGGGTTTAGGGGTTTAGGGGTTTAGGGGTTTAGGGTTTAGGGGTTTAGGGGTTTAGGGATTTAGGGGTTTAGAGTTGGGTTTAAGGTTTAAGTTTAATATTTAGGTTTTAGGGGGTAGGGAGGGTTGCACTTGCCCCAAAAAGACCCCTCTCTTTGGAAAGGCTCAAGACTGCTTGCCTTAAGCCCCAAAACCCTGTCAACACTACAAACCCAGTAAACCATAAACCCTTAACCCTCAATTCTAAACCCTAAACCCTAAACCCTAAACCCTAAACCCTAAACCCTAAACCCTAAACCCTAAACCCTAAACCCTAAACCCTAAACCCTAAACCCTAAACCCTAAACCCTAAACCCTAAACCCTAAACCCTAACCCCGAAACCCTAACCCCTAAACCCTAAACCCTAAACCCTAAACCCTAAACCCTAAACCCTAAACCCTAAACCCTAAACCCTAAACCCTAAACCCTAAACCCTACCCTGCTACCCAGGTTGGCCCCTCATCTGGCCAAAGACTCCGAAGTACAGTTCTGCTGAACCCCGACAAGCGGGAAAAACGAAGTGTCCCAAGGGCCTATACCCACTAGAAGGGACCTGATTTGGGGTTTAGGGTTTAGGGTTTAGGGTTTAGGGTTTAGGGGTTTGGGATATGGGATTAGGGGGACCCTTGGGGATATAGACCCTCTGAATAAGGTCCCTGCGTAAGAGAGCCACAAGAGGGTTCAGAAGGGGTCGGTTTTAAGGGTCTCCCTTATCCTACCTAGGACTGATATACTCACAGTTTCAGGGCCTGCCAGGTTCCCAGTAACCAAAAGACTTGGGCTTAGGGTTTCGGGTTGAGGGTCTGCATCTTTTTCAGTTCTTGAGTTAATAGGGAAATCAAGGAAACACTGGGTCTTGGTCTGTGCTTTAGTTTGCGGGGTTTTGCTTGGGGTTTCGGGGTTTAGGGCGTCCATGGCATCCACAACGCCTGGTGCATTTTTTGAGCAACAAGGGCGTTTGAAGAACCGGTTTGGGGTTTTGGGGTTAGGGGTTAAAAATTAAGGTAAGGCAAACCAGAGCAGCAGAAGAAAGGAACAACACATCTCATCTGCTCCTCCTCGTACTCTTGCTCGATCCGGTTTAGGCTAAGCACCCAAAAAAGGCCTGACAAACCCAAACGCTACAATCTACAACGCTTCCGGCTGCGTCCTCGCAGGAGCACGCGGGCGAAGGACAACCGCTGCTGCTGCTCCTGAGACAGGAGCTCCTGCGCGAAGGACACTGCGGTGGAAGGCGTCTAGGTTTACGACTCAAAACACATACCCATGAAGCCATAAACCCATACACCAATACACCCATAAACCCATAAACCCATACACCCATAAACCCGAAAACCCAGAAGCCCATAAACCCATAAACCCATAAACCCCAAACCCATTCAAAAGCCAACCCTGACAAACCCCATTGCAATGTCATTTTCCATCCATCCTGCTGGCCTCTGCTGGGAAAGTCGCCCCAAAAGCTCCACCCTCCTCAGCCCTGAAACTCTAAGCCACATAGGCATGCCCTTGCAGCCTTTCAACAAGCCTAAACCCTAAACCCTAAACCCTAAACCCTAAACCCTGTGCCCTAAACCCTAAACCCTAAACCCTAAACCATTCCGAATACTCCGAGATTGCTAATACCTAAAGGGACAGCCAGTAACCCTGCCTAGGGGGAGAGGGGCTTGTGAAGAGAGGGTCTGCGCGGGGTTTGCAGGATTCGGGGGACTTTTTTGCCAGAGGACTCTCTTACGTGGATTCAGGGAACTGAATTCTAAACCCTAAACCCTAAACCCTACACCCTACACCTGCTGGCTGTTGGCTGGTGCTCTTCTGCTATGAGGGCTCTGGCTCTGGGATTGTCTCTAGAGGGTTTAACGAGTGTGTGGGAGTTGGAGTGTGGTTTACCGTTTTTGCATCCGGGGACGTACCCTAAATCCGACCCTAAATCCATGATCTCTTCTGCTATGAGGGCTCTTTGACTCCAGGGGTGGGGCTTTAACGATACCGGGGTTGGAGTGTTCTCTACCCTAAACCCTAAACCCTAAACCCTAAACCCTTTTCTGTTCAGGGGCCCATATGCCTCCCAGTTGGCCGCTCGCTCGGCCGAGGGAAGCAGGGACTGCAAGCCCACCAGGGACAGCACCAACTCCACATCTCCTCTGCGCTTGTTTTAGGGTTTAGGGTTTAGGGCCTAGGGTTTAGGGTTCAGGGCTATTGTTTTACCCATAACCGTGGCCTCCAATCCCCCCTCCTGAACAAAAACTTGCAGAGAGAGAGAGAGAGAAAGAGGATTTTCTGATGGGTGAGGCGAAGGTCGAGGGTCGCTTCTGGGGATAAGGGCTCCGGGGCCCTTTTTCGATCCACGACTCACGAAGTTGAGCTGGCTTGAGTTCGAGTGTGTCTATTCTTTGTCATAGTCGGGTAACATTTTACATTTTTAAGGGTACTAAAACCCAATAAGGCCATCCCAACCATGAACTAGTATTTAGGGTCAGCTATATCATTGGCTGCGTGGTTGCACGCTTCTGTCGCGGACCCGAATTTGAGACATCCTTCCGCGCAAGGAACTTGTCGCGGAGGGGGATCGTCGCAAAGAGAACAGATCCTACGATCTGTCCCCCCCCCTCCCAAAAAAACAAAGCATTCTTACAAGGCCCAAATGTGCCCCTCTCCTTCAGCAGGCTCGGGGTAGCAAAGCAACTTGCGAAGCGGCAGCGGCGGGAACCTCGCTAGCGCCATGGCCCGGGAATATCGATGGAGGAGCTGGGGTTTAGGGGGTTAAAGGTTTATAGGCTTCAACATGAGGTTTGAACAGGTTTCGGTTAGGGTGTATAGCCCTAAACCCTAAAAAAAGAGAGGTCCTCTTGCCACCACGGGTTTAGGGGTTGCAGGGTGTTTTCGGTTGTGGGGAGTGCTGGGCTCGGTCGTTGCAGAGACATTTTGTGTGTGGAACAAGACCCTGAAATATCCCGAAGACCATAAAATCCTCAAACTCCTGAAAACCCGCAAAAGCCCTAGAAACCCTGGAGACCCTAAGAACCCTCCAAACCCTCAGAAGCCCTAGAAACCCTTGAAACCCTAAAAAACCCTGAAATACCCCTACCCACTCCGGAACCGCTTACCACTTGCAAGCCCGTGGCCCTCACAGCCTTCACCCAAAAAACCCGACATGCAACTCTTGTACAGTCAACCCACAGCCACGGTTTACGGTTTAGGGTTTAGGGTCTGAACCTTACGCATCCCTAAAACCTACAAACCCCATAAACTGCACATTACCCTACAGACCCTACAACAAACCCTCTGCTACCCTGCCAAATCCCCATAAGCCCTATTATAAACCCTAGGTAAACCTAACAAACCACCCCTAAAAGATCTCGAGCCCTATATAAACCCTATGTAAACCAAACAAACCACCCCAAAACTCAAAGCAAAGCCAGTCCCCTAACATAGGAACCTAAGTCTCATACCACCCCTAAAAGATCTCGAGTACCTCCAGAAACTGCCCGCAGCGCGAGGCACTCGAAGCCTTGCACGAACATGGCGTCGGGGATCACCTCCAGGCCTTGGCTTGGAGGATGTAGGGTGCACTGCGGGTTAGGGTTTAGGGTTTAGGGTTTAGGGTTTAGGGTTTAGGGTTTCGGGTTTAGGGTTTTAGGTTTTTTACTATACAGGACTTGGGGAACACGAGGAAAAAAAAAAAGGTTGAGAGTGTAGCGTATTCATTAGGGGTTAGGCATGGGATGTTCAGACTTATACTAATGGTCTTCAATAGGTGGGGGTACGACAATCCTTCTTAAGGACTGTTACTTTGGAGTAGCTCGGCGGTATGAGGTAGGGGCAACGAGGGTTGAGGTTTTGGTCCTCCAGGCTCTTCGCAGATGCCTGCTTCGATGGAGGGGTTTCGAGTTTTGGGTTTTGGGTTTGGGGTTTAGGGTTTAGGGTTTAGGGTTTGGGGCTCCAATCGTATAGTTCTCAAAGTTCGAGATTTAGCATGCAGAGTACCACAAACCTGCTTGCTCTCAGAGATCTATGCAGGGGTTTAGCGCCTGTGTAGGACTGTTTGTAGAGCTCCTACGAGGCTCAGGACATGTACAGCGCAGAATTATGGTTAACACATTCACGTTCAATGCTGAACCCCTATAAACCCTAAACTGAACCTTAAACCCAAAACCCTCTAAACCCTCAAAACCCTTAAACCCGCGAGCACCAAACCCCACCACGCCGCTTCCAGAGGTGTGGCTCCAAAGCCCAGCAAGGGCCCGGAGAAGCCTGGTAATGAGGGCTCCTACAGCGACCTTTCACGATATATATATATATATATATATTTGTTTATTTATTTTTTCTTATTTATTTGTATTTGTATTTGTATTTATATTTTTATTTATATTTGTATTTGTTATTTATATTTATGCATTTATATTAATATTTATCTATTTGTTTATTGAATTTATTTCTTTCGTTCGGTATTTATATGTATGTTTGTATTTGTATTTAGTGCTGGGGGTTTAGGGATATATGTCTATCGACACACCCTCAAGCAAGATCCTCTGAAATCCGCACGGCCGAAACTAAACCTGTCTCCAAAGCCAAGCAACCCAGCCAAGAAAATCACCGGTCAATCACTAAATTCAATGAATGCGCCCCACTTGAAGAGCCACCCCTCTCCTTGCAAACCCCAGTGCATGAAACCTCCAACTAAGCCGTTTAGGGTTTAGGGTTTAGGGTTTAGGGTTTAGGGTTTAGGGTTTAGGGTTACACACATGGACATGCAGAGACGAACCCAGGGCTTATGCAGGCTGATTCGAAGCCGGCTGGCTCCTCCAAAACCTTGCGAGTCATGCCGTTCTTCTTCGAAGGCCGTTTGAAGGTCAGGTTCCGAACCCACAAACATCCCTCGCAAACTGTAATTAACATAGTTTATAGGGTTTAGGGTTTAGGGTTTAGGGTTAGGGTTTAGGGCTTAGGGCTTAGGGCTTAGGGCTTAGGGCTTAGGGTTTAGGGCTTAGGGTTTAGGGTTTAGGGTTCAGGGTTTAGGATTCAGGGTTCAGGGCTAGTAGGGTTTAGGTTTAGGGTTTAGGGCTAGGGCCTAAATCGCTAAAAGGACTCCAAGAAACAGCGACTTGCCCCCGCTGGCCGGGAGGACGATGAGCAGACGCTCGCCCGGGGACACGTGGAAGGTGAGGGAGCTCAGCACCACCCTTCCAAGCTCTACATGGGGGTTTAGGGTTTAGGGTTTAGGGTTTAGGGTTTAGGGTTTAGGGGTTTAGGGTTTAGGATTCCAGGCTTCCAAGCTTTACTTGGAGGTTCATGGTACTTAGTACCAATTTATACCTGTACTTCTGACCCAATTGTCACCCTGTGAGGGTACTTAAGTACCCTGAACCTCCAAGTATTAGGGGCTTCCGAAAATAGGGGTCTTCTTGGGGGTCCCTTGCGAGGATTCTATTCTATTTCGGGGTGGCAAAAGCGGTACCCCTGTTGCGGGAAATGGCCTTAGAGGGTTGCAGAATTCGAGCCACAGGGTTGATCGGTCCTCAGGCTGGGGCTTTGGGGCTTTGAAGCTTCAGACCGAGGGTTGGAGGGTTTAGGGTTTAGGGTATAGGGTTTAGGGTTTAGGATTTAGGGTTTGGGGTTTAGGGGGTATCCGAGGTTGGAGTAAGAACTTTGCCTCGACTCGACACTCCTGGTACGTGGAGCGTGCCGGCGACTATGTTCTGAGCGCAGTAGGCGTGAGCATGATCCCTAAACCCTAAAACCCTGAGCCCTCTAAACCCTCTAAACCTTATGAACCCGATAATCCCTATAAACCCAATTATTAAACCCTATAAACCCAAGATGCTTGAGGCAAGATGTCTAGAGCGAAAGGGGGTCATCTACGGGAAGCCTTTACCTGCAGGTTCGGCTTAAGTTCCGCTTTTGGGGGAGGGAAGCTGTCGATTTTGGGGAACTCGGACCTCCTGGCTCCTAGTCCTAGTATACATGTCGATGCTGCATACCAAACCCCGTTTCACAAACGTACAGCTGGTGCTTTTGCTTCTCCGCAAGCTCAAAACATGTACCAGCTCGCCATGGCAAGTCTGACACACATACCAACGGGGCAAAACTTAACACCCACTTGCGGCCTTTCTCCGTCAGACCCTGTCTGAAGTCAGACTACGGATTCCTACGTCTCTTCCTTCTCTTAGGCGCTGAAGCACCTCGTCTGCCAAATGCACTCGCGTAGAGACCAGCTGCAAGCAGTCATGATTAGTAACTTTCAAAGGCTTGACACATCTTGAATGTTGGGCGTATGAGCGGGTGATCCTCTATGCTTCTGATGCATGGTTGTTCATGGAGTCTTGAAGTGGGGGAAACTCGCTGCGTGCAATGCTGGGGCTGAAGACGCGTCATGCCTTCACAGTGGCTTTGAATCGCTCGAAATGGCAAGCCACGAAACACCTGGTGGCTGGGCGGCACGAAATCTCCAGCAGCACACCGACCCTAAACCGTAAACCATCAACGCAAAAGTGTGGGCTCAACAGCTGCGCACTGACATCTAACCTAGTTGCTAGTGCTAGTGGATCCGCAGCGCCACACCCTCTCAGACTGGCCAGGGGTTCGAAATGCCCGCTGTCCATACCGCGCAGGTGGGTCAAGAGAGGTCGCAAAGTAGAAAGAGAGAGCCGTGCAGCTCGCAAGGCTCACTTGGTAATCCATCGCTTGCCCTCTCCGTACCTCGGAGGTTGTGGCATTGGTGTTGCTGGGATGTTGTCGATACTGTCGATACATACAGATACTTGAGAAAACAGTTCGGAGTTGAACAGTTCATTGCTCTCGTCTCTTCACCTCAAAAGATTCTTCACTCCATCACCTTCTCCTTTTACTGCATCAACCCGGCGCATCTCCAAAAGAAAACAACCCCATATGGCTCTCAAGGCCAAGAGTCTCGCTCCCGATGCGCCGGCGCACCACGTTGGCCGTGTTGGTGGCCTTCCCAAAGAGCCCAATACCCCTGAATGAAGGAATATACCTTCAATCATATTGAGGACCCTAAACCCTAAACCCTAAACCCTAAACCCTAAACCCTGAACCCTAAACCCTGAACCCTAAAACCCTCGGTGGCCTTCTTGAGCTCCGGGCTGGTCCAGGGCCGGCCCATTTCATCCAAGAGGCTGCGGCCGCTGTCGAAGCCGGCGCTCTCACCACCCAGGTCTAGGCTCCTTTTTAGGTTTAGGGTTTAGGGTTTAGGGTTTAGGGTGAGGCCGTGCGTCGGGTGCTTTCCTTTCTGTTTGTGTTCTTCTTTTGGGAGGGGGGGGGGGCCGGGGGCTCTTGTGCAATTGCCACATGTAGCCTATCGACCCCTTCGAAGTACAGAGGATCCGGAATTGGGCCCTACCCCCCTACCACAAAGACCGCTCAAACGGTGCAGCCCATTAGACCTCCCTCCGTGCCTCCCGGTGGCCCGGTGGGAGATATTGCCAGATGGCGAGAGAGAAAGAAAGAAAGAGAGAGAGAGAGAGGGGGAGAGAGAGAGAGATAGAGAGAGATGCACACAAGCACACATGGATGGACTGCTGCATAGATAGATCAGGTGGTAGGTAGGGACTTTAAGTTTTGGCATGTACGCATCCAGCACAATCAAGCAAGAGGTCCTCCCCAGGACATTGAGCTTGCCCTCGTACTGGACGCCCAGCTGCACGCGGGGCTTCTCGCCAAACTCTTCGCCTTCTTAGTAGCCCTAAACCCTAAACCCTCAACCCTAAACCCTAAACCCTAAACCCTATAAAGCCTAAACCCCCGAAAAAAAGGGAAAAAGGGCACCACTGGGCTACGAAGCCTTTGTAGGCCTTGCCGGTCAGGCGGAGGTAGCTTCCATCGTTGAAGTCCACACGGGGAGACCTGCTCTTGATAGGAGAGGGTCTTCACTTGATTAGGGTTTAGGGTTTAGGGTTTAGGGTTTAGGGTTTGGGGTTTAGGGTTTAGGGTTTATAGGGTTTAGAGGAAAAAAGTGGAACAAGGCATGTTTAGACCAACCCGCAGACCTGATCTCTGCTGCCTGACGCACCTTGGACCCGTAGGATCTCATCTCATAGCGGGCGTCCACGCCCCGAAGCTGGGAGGCCGTCACCCGCACGGAGCTGGAGAGCTCCCCGTCCTCTGAGCTCTTGGATGCGAGCGCCATGGCCTGCAGCTCCGGCACTTTGGCTGGGGTCAGGGCCATGGCTGCAGCCAGGGCCGGCCTTGACATGCCGAACTTGTAGCGGCTCTGGAGCGCCAGGGTGGAGCCTTCGGCCGCGAGCTTGGGCGCCAGGGTGCCGATGTCGAGGGTGACTCCCGTGCCCAGGGGCTGGATCTGCACCTCTCCACGCTTGGCCGCGCCCTTGATGTTGGCATCGAGCTTGACGCCCTTGGCGACCTGGCGCTCGCCCTTCCACTCCGCAAAGCCTTCGACGTCGTATGCCCCCTGCCGGTCCATAACGGCACCCAGGCCGAAAGCCGTGCCCAGCTTCGCCGGAGCCAGGACCCGAGCCTGCAATCCTTCCGAATTGAGCCGCACGTTGTACTGGGGATCCCTTGTGAGGATCTTTCCGCCCTGCTTGGAGCTCCATCCCTCCAGACGGCCCTTCATCAAGGCCTCCCAGTCAAAAGATACACCAAGAGACTCGTTGACGCCCTGCTGCACGTCCGGGAAAACTGCTGCCCTGTATTCTGTGTTGCCTGTCTGGTACTTCGCGCCAAAGCTGGGCTTGATCCAGTTGGGCAGCATGCTCTCGGCATCCGGGCGCCTCTTCATGTCCACGGCGGCAAGCCCAGAGACTCCTTGGCCTAGAGGCTTCTCGACCGCCAAAGTGGCATCGTAGATCATGTCCGCGCCCTTGCCGGACACGGCCAAGCGCCGGGGTGCGCTGCCCTTCCCGTCCAGCTGCACCGTCCAGTCCGCGTCGCTGCCCTCCTCGCCTGCGGCGGCGAAGGCCACCCGCGCCCCGTGTGGCGGCTTGTAGGCGCTCCTCGCCGAGTCATAGTTCACACCGTAGACGACGCTGCCCCCATCTTCGCGCGCGGCAAAGAGAGCCGTGGAGCCGTTGGCTTCCGTGGCCCGCACCTGCCACTGCGGCGCACCCTGGGAGATCGTGTCCACTGCAAACCTGGACCCCGCCACGCGGATGGCATGCGGCTGCTTCCAAACCTTCACGGTCTTCTCGAGCTGATCCTTGGCCTCATCGCTGGAGAAGCTGAGGCTTGGGGAGAAAATGCACAGGCAGGCCGCGAGCATGGCTGCCGCCATAGCCGCCGATCGTCGAGACGTTCTGCGCACCATGGCTTCTCGAAGACTTCGGCGTGGAGGCGGTCGAAAGAGCAAGCACAGAGAACCCAAAATGGGCAGCTTGAGCCGAGCAAAGCGTGTGCTTTTTGGATTGCTTTCTTGTTTTTGGCTCAATCCCGACCATGGCGGATTTTAAAGATTGGCTGTGGCATTGCCAGCTTGGCTGTTGAACGCTTTAAAGTTCAAACGTGAACTCCAAATTGGCACCTATGGCGGCTTGCCGGGTGAAGCAAGTAACCCTGCAAATTCGTAGGTTCTATAGCCCCCACAACAAGTTAACTGCGGAGTATACTTTTCAAGCTCCCCCCTCCAGCCTGCCCTCTGGTGTCAGCACCGCCAGGTCCTGTGGAGCGCTCCGAGGCCAGAGGATTAGCAGGTTTGAAAACTCGATCACAGTCCTCTTCGCACGCGCGCTCTGCACATTAGGGGGACATCACAGATCCTTACACCCTAAACCCTAATTTTAAACCCTAAACCCCGCAAGACCTTCATTCAGGTTGACTCGTCCTCTGCGGACAGCGCTGGAGACCCTGGTGGGGGTGGCGGTGACGCCCGAGACGGCGCAGCCACCGACACAGCCTGGGCCTGTGCCATGAACTCTCAAGGATCTGGCATCATGTGGACCACGACTTCTAGGCTGCCCAGTAACCAAGGCTTAAAAAGGGTGCCCTTTTTTGCTTAAGGGGGATTATAAGGGAACCTAAACTCCCCAAAAAGGGAATAAGGGTACTACTGGGCATCCTAGACTTAGCGGCCGGTACTTAGTACGCGGAAACCATCTCCTGATATGGAGGCAGCGGCTAGGATTCTGAGGGTTACTGAGTCCTTGTGCATTGCATCCAAACTACATGTGACATGCCATCCTTGCTTCATCGGGCGGCTGTGCTAGTTCATGGTTGGGATAGTATTAAAAGTTGAGCTTCTATCCCTTGTTGAGTTTAACTTAATACTATTCAAGTCTGATGTGTCCCCTATAAATGTCACTGGTCTTGCCCTTAAAATCAAACATGCTACCCACTATGACAAAGTGTTACAGGCGTCCAGGGCTGACGAGAGAAAGGTGCAGCCTGGAGCGCAGCCAAGCGGTTGGCGGCCACTCGCCAGCCCACCGCCTCCCCAAGGTGCGAAGGGGGGGGGGGGGGGGGGGGGGGGGTTTGGGGTTTGGGGTTTGGGGTTTGGGGTTTGGGGTTTGGGGTTTGGGGTTTGGGGTTTAGGGTTTCGGGTTTAGGGTTCAGGGTTTAGGGGGACGGAACAAGCGCGCCCTTCTACTGGTCCAAGTCTTCCATTCCGGCCCTCGAGCGCTGAGGCCAGCCAGGACCCCCCGCGGCAAACTTGGAAAGTTGCTGACCTCCTCTACTCTTGAATACGGATCTTGCAAGCTCTACCCTAAACCCTAAACCCTAAACCCTAAACCCTAAACCCTAAACCCTAAACCCTAAACCCTAAACCCTAACCTTGGAGTGATCCGGGTTGACTGACTCTGGTTTGGACTTGACACAAGTGAGAGAGGTTGCCCTGAACGCTTGAGAGAGGGGGTTTAGGGTTTACGGTTTCGCCACCCGCACTGCGCGCACACAAGCACCCGCTCCTTTAGGGTTTTTTTGCCACCCGACTAGCCACGGCAATGCGGGGGTAAAGGTTTAGGGTTTAGGGTTTACATCCTAATGCCCTTCAAAATCCAGAAGGCTATAAAAACCAAATCCTAGAAGCCCCAGCAAGCAGTTCCGTTTTTGTTTTGACCCCTACACCCTAAACCCTAAACCCTGAACCCTGAACCCTGAAACCCTGAACCCCTAAAACCCTAAAACCCGGAAACCCTAAACCCTAAACCTGAACCCTGAATCCCCTAAAACCCGAAACCTAAACTTCTGCCAACCTGCTCGTACGCAGCCACCGGGAAGGTGAGACTTGCCGACACCCGCTCGACGATCATGCGCAACCTCGGAAGGCAGGTTTAGGGTTTAAGGTTTAGGGTTCAGGGTTCATGAACCTTGTAAGCCCTACTTAGATGGAGGTTTGGGGGGGGGGGGGGGGGGGGGCGTCTTAATTAAGGAATATACCTTAAATCAAATTAAGCAATATCCCCTAATTAAGGGATATTGGGCTCTTTGGGTATCGATACACAGTGCTTCAAGGCCCCACCCGAACAGGGCCTCATTCTTGTAAACAACCCCCTGGGATGGTTCCCCCTCATGCGAACAGTCCTTAATAGGGATTATAGTACCCCATGTTTTAATCCCTAGTAAGAACTGTGAGGATAAGGGGGAACATCCCAAACAACCCCGTCCTAAATCCTAACCCCTAACCCCTAACCCCTAACCCCTAAACCCTAAACCCTAAACCTGTAGCTGAGTGGCTGCATTAGCTGGCCAAGATCCAGCGCACCCGTGAAGTAGGCAGGTGCCAGCAGCACGAAAGGCACCACGGTCCCATACTCCTCGTACCTTGTAGGTTACCAGAAGCACTGAAACCATGACCCTAAACCCTAAACCCTAAACCCTAAACCCTAAGCCCTAAGCCCTAAGCCCTAAGCCCTAAACCCTAAAAGGGTTTAGACACGTTGGCGTGACATCACTCTGGTGGGCAAGTAAGCGTTGCGTTCTCAATTCACCTAGGAATAAACAGGGTACCCGTTTTGGTTTTAAGGGGATTATAAGGGAACCCCAAGCCTGAAAAAAGGAAATATGGGCCTACTCCGGGTCCTAGTGATCCCCAAAAAACCTCAACTCAAGCAACTTGCCAAAGACCGGCGCACAAGAAACATTCGGACATCGGCTGTCTAGCTACAATTCGCTTCAGAACCCACAACAAACAAAAGATAATGACATTTTGCACTTATAAGGAAGCATGCTTTATCGCTATTCTTACTATTATCATTTTACTACAACACACATACACACATACACACATACACGCATACACACATACACACATCATTCACACACACACACACGTGCCTACATACATACATACATACATACATGCATACATACATACATGTACGTATGTATAAATAAGTACATTGATTTTGTTCATGCTTTATTTTTTGGGGGCTTCTTCAGCAGATAGTAGCCAGTTGGAGACTCAGGCGCATCATCTTGAAGAAGTTCAGAAACCTCGGCAAACCGAAGAAAGGCCAGAGCGTGTCCTGGATCCCCTTCTTGGAGGTCCAGGGTACTAAAAAACTGTTCTGTTTACCCCAAAGCCCCCTAAGTCCTCTATGTAGGCTTTAAGCAAACATATAGTTGACATTATCAGTGCCCATGAACCTCGAAGTAGCTGGCCAGACTCACCGCAGGCAAGTCACCGCAGTGGCTTTACGGGACTCCGATGCTTCGAGGCTTGAGGTTTGGGGCTCAGGGCCGAATTGCAAGACAACTAGCCGGTATGAATGATTAACTCTGAAGCCCAAGAAGCCGCATGAGCCTTATGCGCCTTAAACGATAAAGCACCTAACGAATAACAGCAAAGATTGTTTTGCAAAGAGCCCACAAAAACCTCAACCCCCTCCTTCCCGCCCCCCCCCCCCCCCCCCCCAAAAAAAAAGACAGCAGCAATACTAATGATAAGAACAATCATAACCATAAACAAAAATAGTGATATTAATAATCGGATTCATGATCATAATAAAGAACTCAGAAGAACCTACGCTTCGTGTCAGGGCCAGCTCGCTTGGTGATGTCGAACTCTGCGTAGGCCACGCGCTTCATGACCTCGAATCGCTCCTGGAGGCTCCTCAGTCGCTACAGGGGGGGGAGGGGGTTAGGGTTTAGGGTTTTGGGTTAGGGTTTAGGGTTTAGGGTTTAGGGTTTAGGGTGCAGAGGTTTAGAGGTTTAGAGGTTTAGGATTTAGGGTGGGAAGGGGGGGTTGGAGGGGGGAGAGGAGGGGGGGAGGGGAGCTTTTTAGGAGGTTTAAGGTTCGTTTTTGTTCGGTATTCGTGGTTTAGGGTTAAGGTTAAGGTTTAGGGTAACTTTTTGCCTCCCGCCGCTGACAACCACACTGCGGGGATGCAATACGCTCCGTCGTGAGTGAGAAAAAAAAGACAGGAAAAAGGGCGAAAAGACCAGGTCAAGCCGGAGGCCGAAAGGTTTAAGGGTTTAGGGGTTCGAGTGTAGGGGTCCCAGGATTCAGGGCATTCTAGGCGTCCGTAGGGCTTACAGGGTTGAGGTGGTGCAGGGTCTCGGGCTTCGGCTCTGCAGGACATGGATGCTTAAGGGTTCAGGGTTGCTTCCAGAAAAAATCGATGCTCATCAAGAACCTATGAAGCGCAAAGCGCTTCATGTGCTTTATGAAGTTGAAGATCGAGGATCTTGGTAAAAAAATGTGTGTTTTGTGTGTTTCCTCCATAGTCTGAAGATATACGTGGAGCCCAAAACATCATGTATCCCTTCTAGGTACACACGTGCGCGCAGGGTTCGAATTCGATCCCAAGCCCTGTCAACCCCAAGCCCATGAAACTGACAAGGAAGCACAATGCCACAGTGCCCTGAACCCTGAACCCAAGACGCTTTTTTGCAGCCAGATGAACGCGCTAAACCCTCTAAAACCGCCTGAAACCCTCAACCCTAAACCCCTAAACCCCAAACCCTAAACCCCGAACCCCTAAACCCCCTAAACCCCCTAAACCCCTAAACCCTACACCCCTTTCAGCTCAAGGCGTCTCTGCCAACTGCGGTCCTGCCTGCAGCAGTGCCAGACTCTCCGCCTCCATGCCCATCGCTACTATTTGCTTGAGAACCAGAACTCCCCCCCCTAAACCCCCCCAAAAAAAAGATAGTACCTGAATTACCCCTATAAGGTTATTGTAAGGGAGAATGTGTCATTTTTTTTTGGGGGGAGGGGGTCTTCAGCAATTCGTGGATCCGGGGTGCTAGACCCAGAGTACGTAGCCCGAGAACAAAAAAGGGTGCCCTATTTGGTTTGAAGGGGCTTCTACATTCGAAAAAGGCCTACTCTGAGTCCTAGAAGGTGTCTTTTTGCTCCGCCATTGCTAACCAAAACCACACACAGCACGGTGACCTGTCTACAAAGGTGTAGGGTTTCACCATGGTCCACCCTGGACCCTCAGTTGCCCTTAGCCAGCAAGGAAGTATAGGCTTTCTTCACGGAACTATGAACACCAACCTCCTATCCGAACCCTACAGAAACATGCGAGACCCTGGCTTGCCTTTTTTTCTCCAAAGCCCAGCTACTTCTCTCCTGGGTTCACTCAAACCTGCCCCAAACCCCTACAGGGTTTAGGGTTTATAGGGTTTAGGGTATAGGGTATAGGGTTTAGGGTTTAGGGTTTAGGGTCAAAGACCTGAAGTCGTAGGGGAGGGGTACCCTTTGGGCGGAAAGCCAAGGTGCCTTGTCTCGCGCATGCACCAGCTCCGAGCGGAAGTTGGCGTTCGCAGACTCACCGGCCAAAGACAGGGGCACAAGGCTCCGCCCGATCCTTGGGTTGAGGGGTTAGGGTTTAGGGTTTACAGGGGTCCGAGCGCTGGCGCGGTTCGCGCACCCTCTACTGGCAAGGCACGCAAAGCCAGAACGAAATCCCCGCACAAGAACAAGTATGTAGGGGAGGGGGGGGAGGAGAGGGGGGTGGGGGTCGGTGGGGGGGGGGGAGGGGGCTGTCGGGATAATATGGCCAGCCCTTAGGCATCAGTGGGCAGGGCAACCAGGTAGCTTCTTCTGGAACAGCCCAGTAGGAAGGAACCTTTCCTCTGGGTTCGTAGGGTGTACTAAGCAAACCCTAGAAAAGCCCTAAACCCTTTTGCTTGCATCCGGGCTCCCTCGTTGAGTGTTGAAACAGGAAACATCAACCCGAGAAACCCTAAATAAATCCTAAACCGTACACCCCGAAACCCTGTGCCAACTTGGGGGCCAGGGGCTTGTGAGTCACGACTGCCCCGAAGACAGGCCAAACGAGCACGAAGCCTGAGGCAATTCTCTGAGCGAGGATACAAAGTAGAGCTTCGTCGACTTGCTACACTTTCACCTCAACCCGAAACCCTAAACCCTCAACCGTCACACTGGGATTGAGGCCCCAGAAACCCTAAACCCCGAACCCTAAACCCTAGTTTGCTTAAGAGGGGTAAAAAATGGCGGTCGCAAGCCTAAAGTTACCTGAGACAACATCTGCTCTTTATCTCTCCTTCGTTGTAGGGCTTAGGGCTTAATTAGGGCCTCGGGCTTCGGGCTTCGGGTTGAGAGGGTTTTGGGGCTCAACAACGCCCCACGGTTCCCCAAAGCTTCTAGGGGTCCAGGGCGTGCAGGCGCGGCGAGGTGGCATAAAGTCCGGGCGCCTAGAAGTGGCGGCGGCGCTGAGCGCAGCAAGATCGGGAAGTAGATGGCCAGCCTCACGAGAACCCTCTCTTAGGGGCTGAATACCCTAGCCCAAAGAAGGTTTCCTTTTGAGTACGATTTTTAAATAAGCTTCATGGGCTGTCTTGGATTTGAGGCAGAAATGGGTTGGGAAAATAATAAAAACTATGCAAACTTTGCATTCTTGGGCTAGGATTGCTTTCCAGCAGGCATTGGCCTACACATCCCCCTGCCGCAATTTTGTTCGGCACAAATCCATGCACATGCAGTCCCTTCCATACAGGGACTGGCAAAGACGGCACGAACCACAACAAGGAACACCTGACGATAGATCCACATAACACTCAGACTTGCCAAGAAGGATCTGAGACCGTGAGCCCTATATGCACCCTAAACAAACCCTAAACCCTAAAGCCCTTAACCCCCTAAACCCTAAACCCCGAACCCCAAAACCCTGAAAACCCGCCTCACCAGGGAGCCGAGACCTCCAAAGAAGAGCCTTCGACGATTGCGAGCGTTTATGGCTTGAGGCTTGACAAAGGCGTCTTAACTTAGCTTTGGAGTAGACCCTGGAAAAAAGCATATACTTTTTAGATAACAAGGAGCAAAAATAGGAACCCAGAACCAATAAAAATTGTTAACGTATAGTACTCCAAACCCAGTTAAGGCTAACTTGCTAGCCCAGGAACCATAATAAGCCCTTTTAAGCCCATACTCTGCATGTCAGCTGGCTCCGATATGTGGCTTATTCTAAGCCCTAAGCGCGACACCCTAAACTTTTTTTTTTTTTTTTTGGGGGGGGGGGGGGGGGGTTGCTTACGTGAATAGGGAACCCTTTAACCCAAAGAGTGCAAAGTTTCAAAGGCATCCTAAGCCTGAAGCTTAGTTGTCCAGCATCCTGGGGGAACTAAAGGTTTAGGGTTTAGGGATTGCACATCCTCGTCGTATGACCATGTCTTTCCGAGGCTTAGCATCCACTTACACGATGCACTTTCGCGAAGAAGCCCTCTTGAACCTGGAGCTAAGCCCGAGATAGCAAGGTGTTTTGAAAATTAATAACAAAATCCTACATCCGAAAACCCAAGCCCAAATGAAGGCTTCAAACCGTTTCAAACTGGACTCTCTCAAGAACCCCTAAACCCTAGCCCTAAACCCTTAACGCTAAACCCTAAACCCTAAAACCTCAACCCTAAACTCTAAACCCAACCCTCTCTCCCAAAACCCTAAACCCCAAACCCTGAAGCCCAAACCCTAAACCCTAAACCCCAAACCCCAAACCCTGAACCCTAAAACCCTAAACCCTAAACCCTAAACCCTAAACCCTAAACCCTAAACCCTAAACCAAGGCTGGGAGCTCACGGGTGGAGCCCACGAACTCGTCCACGTCTTGGTCGATGCGCTGGTCCGGGTTGTCCACCTCGCTAGGGTTTGGGGGTTAGGGTTTCGGGTTTAGGGTTCAGGGCTCAGGATTTTCAGGGTGCTTTTGCCGCATAGCTGGACGGTTTGGGTTGAGGGTTTAGGAGAGGCTGTTTTTAGGGCTCATGAGGGTTTTTGGGTTTACAAGTGTTGTCCCACCTAGCTGAACGAAGCTTCACTTCCACGGAATCAGGTGAGCTCATAGGCTCACCAACAAATATGCATAATCGAAGCACCGGCAATTTATTGACACTGCAACACCCCGCCCCCCCTCACCCGCCCTCACCTAACGTTGCGGGCGAGTTTGCGGCATTGGGCTAGGGGTTTGGGGATTTGAGAGCTTGTGGGTCGTTAGGGTTTTGGGGCTTTCTGGAGGGAATGAAGTGAGGTTACATTTTTCAACCGAGAAGCCCTCAAAGCTCCCCTCCCCCCCCCCCCCCCGACCCAAAAAAAAGCTCAAAACCTGAAAATGAAAAGCGTCCGAGACTACATGGATAGACGGGCTTCTAGAACGTAAACCTTACTGGACTTTAGTAAAGGGAACTCGGGAGTTCGTAGGTTGCCCTGTATAGTTCCTTGAAAGATTATACAGGGGATATACGCGGTACCTAAGATCTAAACACAAAAAAGTCCTACACCCAAGATGTTACAAGATCCGAACCTCAGAGGTGACGTTGGACATACACAGATGCCTCAAACCTCACATGAAAAGCACACAAAAACCCCGCATCCTGCATGTAGAAGTACACCCTTTGCAATGCATTCACTCCCTGTACTAACACTAGCAGTAAGAAAAGAAGAAAGGCGGAGGAGAAGACTCTAAATCCCAAACCCTGACTAGCTTCCATTCTTACTCTTGAGGTACATGGGCCGCTGCACCCTAAACCCCAAACCCCAAACCGGAAAGAGAGAAGAACCAGCCTGAACCTCGCACTGTCGCATCATGCCTCGATATCTTCGATATCGGGGTCAGGGTTTAGGTTTCTGAGGCTTCTCTCTCCCTCTCTGCCGTTCCATCCCTGAGGGTCTTGCTACGCAAGGGCACGAAAAGTAGGCGGGGATTGCTGAGGCTTTTGGGGTCTATAGGGTTTAGGGCTACCACGCGCATCACATCACTTTGAGCTAGTCATGCCAACTATGCACACGAAGTACAGCAGCAGCATACCCTCCCAAATACCAGACCCCCCTATCTATACTGAACTTGGAACCCTAGCAACAATTTTAACTTTCGCTGTTTCTTAGGAAATACAGTACCCAAAAAAAACTAAATTCCCAAGAATCCCTAAGCTATGTGTGGGACATGAAGGTTAAGAAGAGGTCCTGGGTGCCTTGCGGGGGATCTTCAAGGCTCTCCCCCCCCCCCCCCCCCCCCCCCCCACTTAGGCACTTATTGGCTCGAGCAGCCTGTGCGAGAAAAAACGGGTGATACTATAGGGGCCTTAGTAACTAGAATAGGGCTTTTGGGGGGCAATTCTGGTGTAATCATGTAGGGATCAGAAGGGAATGCTGTTCGTAATTCTTCCGACCCCTATGCTAGCTTTCTCCCAGCACCCTAAACCCTAAATCCTAAACCCTAAACCCTAAACCCTAAACCCGATGTCTCCCAGCGAGGTGCACATGGCCCCGCTGCCCACCCAGAGCCCGTTGAAGTGCCGAGTGAGGTGGTCGCGCGCGTGCAGGTGCCACATGCCTTGCCGGGTCTTAGGGTTCACTGGGGGTAGGTCTGGGGGCCGTATACACAAGACATACATGTGTGTATATATATATATATATTTATTTATTTATATTTACTTATTCATGTCTTTAGAAGGATTATATAGAGCATTGAGGGTAATAAAAGTTAAGACATTCTGTTCAAACCTACCGTTCTGATTGCAGGGCTCAGGCAAGGCGCAGGTCTTCGGGTTGATTCTTAATTGTCCAGTAACCTGGGAAAATTAAAGGTTAACCTTTGGGATTATAAGGGATTATACTACCCCAACAAGGTTAACGGCTACCTACTCTACTACTAGGGATTAGTGGACATGCCGGGGCGAGGCTCTGGTTCGCAGGTTTAGGGTTCGAAGGTTTGGGGCGTGTTCCCCCTTTTGCACCCAGTCCTCGGACCGAGCAGACCCTAAAACTGGCTGGTTCTTAGTAAGGAACCCTTACTATACCGTTTAAGGGATTAGATAGGACCCTAATTCCCTCATTCCCTACTAAGAACCTCCTATATAATCCCTGAAACGGTATATCTAGGGTTCCCTACTAAGAACCAGCCGGAAAAAAGCCCAGACGCTGGTTTGGAAATTACAGGGCAAAGGGTTTTCATGCACAGCGGCTCAGGACTTCTTCAAGCCGCGGGTGATTGCATTGCTACCATTTCGCACTCAGGGTTTGGGCCGGATGGGGCTAGCATCCAAATTTCTAAATATATATATATATATATATATATATAAACTGAATAAGTAAATATGTATATAAATATATGTAGACGTGCATATACTGAACTATATGTCATATGTGTGTACCCACCATCCGAGATGCCGTTGAGGTAGTCGCTGTAAGTGCCCACGAAGCCGGTGACGCCTGTGATGATGATGAAATCCCAGAGCAAGCCTGGGTCGGCTAGGTTTAGGGTTTAGGGTTTAGGGTTTAGGGTTTAGGGTTTAGGGTTTAGGGTTTAGGGTTTAGGGTTTAGGGTTTGGGGATTGGGGTTTGGGGTTTGGGGTTTGGGGTTTGGGGTTTAGGGTGGTTCTATGGGCCCTTAATGGAATCCTTAAGGGGTATATATAGGGGATACCCATCTGTACTCCCTTAAAGGGGCTTGCATGGGGTGATATTACCTACTTCCCTCATTCCCGCACAAGAATCGGAGGGACTTTCAGGCTTCCTGAACAACCTGGATCTCCCCCCCCCCCCCCCCAGGAGTGTGAGTTTCGAAGGCTGAGGGTTTAGGACTCTTTTTCACCCACCTGTTTTGCGCAAATCGAGAAGTGTACCAAGTTTAGGACTGTTTAGGGTCTAGGGTTTACGGTCTCTCTATGGGTGGTTATATGGGTCCCTTGAGAGGGTCCCTTGTCCTGCTTCAAAGGGTTCTGAAATATGTGCCCTTGGGTTTATAGGGGGAAATAAAGGGGTATGGAGTCCCCGTTCTTCAGGGCCCAGAATAAGGGATCATGTAACTACCCTAAGAAGCTTTGGAGTCTACGGGGCCTTCGGTTTAGGATTTTGGAGTTTCGTCGCTCACTCTCGCACAAGGATTTTGGAGTTTAGGGTTTGGGGACATTGTGGGCAATGCTGAGCTCGCGGCCGACAGTAAACAAAAGGTGGAAGCCCTAAACCTTAAACCCTAGAACCTCAAGCCCCAAACCCCCCAAAAAAGGGACAAGCCGGGTCTCTGTAGAATTGCTTGGACTGGTGGTTCTGCAGGGCGGACCAGAAAACTCCGTTCCACTGCGTCAACGCCTCGGCGAAGGAAGTGCACGCATTGTGCCCTCTGTAAGGTTAGGGTTTAGGGTTTAGGGATTCCAATGTGGGTTTCTGTCGACAATTAAGGGCTGGCGAGTTTACTGGCTGGCATACATGCAGCGATGCACGAAACAAGCAGCACCTCACACAGCCTCCAATTCTAGCTAGTAGGCTAGCTCAGTGGCCTGTAACTTTAATAAAGCAAACCCCTAGACCCTAAACCCTAAACCCTATTGCCTTTCCACGATGGCCTTGCCCAGAGACATTTTGTATTACCCAAGCCTGGGCGCCACATCCACGTAGAGGGCGACACCCAGCAAGGTGACGTGTGCTGCAGCGTAGCCTGCCTTGGCTTGAGGGTTGAGGGTTGAGGGCTTAGGGTTGTTTAGGGTTTAGGGTTTAGGGTCGGCTTCCTAGACACGTCTTCTAACGCAGTTGCTGAAGTTTCGGACCAGCCAGGCATACATGCGGACATTTCCACAGACGACTTCGGTGGCAAAACATTCACGTAGTGCTGACCACAAATCTCGGGAAACTCAGCCCCATCCCTGAGGAAAATAGCCTATGGGATTGTGTCCAAGCCCTAAGCCCTGAACGCGATCGATATAGCGCACCCAAAAAAAAGGTACACATTCCCCTCTATTCCCAAGAGAAACCTTCTCTAACCCTAAACAAATGACCTTAAACCCCAAACCTTAAACCCTAAACCCTAAACCCTAAACAACTTACCCTTCAAGGAGACCCTGGTCAGCAGACTCGGAGATGAGATGCACACTTCAGCGAGGTTGGCCCCTTCACGTAGGGTTCCAGAACCTCCCAGGGTTTTAGGGTTTTGGGGGTTTAGGGTTTAGGGTTTAGGGTTTAGGTTTAGGGCTTAGGGTTTAGGGTGAGAGCAACTTCGACCTTCGGGATCTTTTGGAGGTCGGCTTTGTGCCCTCTGTAGGGTTCAGGGTTTCGGGTTTAGGGATTGGGGTTAGAGCAAGGCCGGCGGACCTTGATGGCACTGCGCAAGCTGGAGGCCTGCGTTTCAAGCGGGCGTGATGGCTGCATGGAGACCATGTGGCTGCCGAAGACAAGGTATTCTGTGTTCTTAGCCTACAACCCTGGAGCGCAAGCATTTGCCGGCCTGCTTGCTAAGTCATCGGACCCAGACCACGGCCGGCGTAGCTTCAAAATCGCAACAAACTGCATGGATTTGGAGTTCTGGCATCTATGTTCAAGTGTTCTTGTAGGCCTGTGCAGGAGCCCGAACTCACACCGTGGCAAGCCCGCTTTCAAACTTCTTAAGGGTCCTCCCGGCCTTCATCGAACCTCTAACATCAACCCCATGTGCACGGGTGTGAACGGCTTTCGGGGATAGGGATGTTGCGAAGAAGCCCTCAATTCTTAAGTCTCAGATTCCAAAACGGCACCCTTCCAGCCTCCTCCTCTTTCTCAGCTGCCTCAACTACCTGGCAAGCTTCTCTTTGGCCAGATCCGGGAGTAACCTAGGAATAAAAGGGTACCCCTTTTTGGTTTGCAGGGGATTATAAGGGAACCTCAACCCTACAAAAAGGAAAAAAGGGCCTACTCCAGGTCCTAGTTGGAGAGTTTTGGGTGGGGGGTGGGGGGGAGGAGGGAGGGAGGGGGGCTGGGGGGGAGGGCGGGCTAGGATGAGCTGATGCGCAGGATTCGAAGCGGTCGGCGTTGCCTTCCGGTCTCTCTGGGGAAGATACTCGGCTCATTTCTTCTGGGGCGTAGGTTTAGGATTTCGGGTTTAGGGTTTAGGGTTTGCAGGTCCAGCTGCTGAGGCACGGGCTTGTTTTCATGAGGGTCTGCCACCCCTGACTTCCCATATGAAAAACCAAAGGCCTGGCCCTACCTGCGGCTTGTGAGGAAGGAAGGCACAAAACCCCCAAGCCCTTCTTTCCCCCCAAAACCCCAAACCACATAACCATGAAGCCCCTGAACCGCATAACCATTACAACCCTACACCCTACACCCTGCACCCTCAACCCGAAACCCTAAGCACTAGGGAAACCCAAAACGTAGGGAAACCCTAAACCCTAAACCCTAAACCCTAAACCCTAAACCCTAAACCCTAAACCCGAAATGAAGGGGCGCCTTTGGTAAAGGCGCAGCGAGGTCGGTCTCAGCTAGGCGGGCTTTGCCCCAGTACCTCTCAAGTCCGCCTCCCAAACCTCTCTTCTGGGGTTTAGGGTTTAGGGTTTAGGGCTTAGGGCTTAGGGTTTAGGATTTGGGGTTTAGGGTTTAGGATGTGCAAGTCCCAGCACGAATAGCCCGCTGCACAAACACGTGCAGACACACCATCACCTCATGAAACTGCTGTTGGTATGAAACAAAAACTTGCCAAACATTTCCCTAAACCCCATGCGTCTGAACCCCTTCTTTAGAACCCAAAACCCACAACAACAACCCTAACCCTGGACATTGAGCCTCTTAAGCAGGTTTTCTACAGTTCTAGACTTCGGGATGAAGAGTTTAGCGGTTTAAAGGCTTAGGGGTTTGTAGTGTTTAGGGTTTAGAGCTCTATGCTCCACCGAGTTCCTTCACAGGTTCGGCAGGATCGGCAATATCAGACCACCTTCAGCTTATCTCTAAACCCTAAACCCTAAACCCTAAACCCTAATTGTGGGGCGGGCGGAGGTGGAGGTGGCAGCTGGGCGCACTCGAAGAAGCCGGCAGCCAGCACAGTGACGGGAGCTGCTACCAGGAAGATTCGCCTTGGCTTCTTGGCTTTGGGGGGGTTTTGTAAGGGTTTAGGGTTTAGGGTTTAGGGTTTAGGGTTTAGGGTTTAGGGTTTAGGGTTTAGGGTTAGCTCTTGTTTTCTGGCACCCCCCCTCGCTGACCACAATTGGATGCACTGCAGGGTTTAGGGCTTCTCAGGGGAGGTTAAGTAAGGGTGGAGTGAGTCACCACGGGCTACACACTCTATGGCGAAGGCTGCGAGCAAGTTCTGGGTTCCGACTTTAGGGTTTAGGGCTTAGGGTTTAGGGTTTGGGGCTTAGGGTTTAGGGTTTAGGGTTTGGGGCACCTTCTACTACCAGCAGAGAAGCCGGTTCTCCGGGTTGTAAAGTGCCACGCCAGCGGCCGCAGAAGCACCCTTTGCTGCTTCCACGTGCTCCTGGCATCAGGGTCGCCGGAATTCCCTACACCCTAAACCCTAAACACCTGGGATCCTTAAGGTTGTACCCTTGGGTTTTGGGAGCCCTTCTTTAAGATCCTCAAGGTAGTAGAAGGGCCATATTCGGAGTAGACTAAGGGAAACCACTAAAGGGGTACAACCATACGGGTGCGAGTCTTAAGGAATGAAGGCAACGCAAGTTGGGTGAAGAAAAGCAGTAGCAAGAACCGTCTAGGTTAGAGACTTTGAGGGCCGACGCATGATTTTGTTGATCTGAAGTGGGCGTGATTGCATGGAGCCTTTTAAAGTTGAGCCTTGCTCCGGTATGGGGCTTGTGTTTAGGGTTTAGGGTTTAGGGTTTAGGGTTTAGGGGCAGCAACCACCCCGCCTTCTTGCCCACGTGCTGCCCTTCCTCCGGCTTGGCGTCGGCCAGGAAGCTACTCAAGCGCCTGACTAAAGCGACGCTGCCTTTTCTTGCCCCTGAGACCAAGCCACAAGGCATTGGCTGCGTGATAGCTTGCTTTAGTTGCTATAGGTTCGTCAGATGTTGGTACCGAGTCAGAAAATTACAGGCGCTTCAAGCGGCCGATGTTTCTGGAAAAATATTCCTGGCCAAGATCCTCTTAAGCTCAAAGAAGGGAAGGGAAATAACATCCCGAAGGGTCCCGAGCCCTCTCAGAATGTCAAACCCTCTTGCCCTCTTCTTCCATCCGGACTCATTGCTGTCAGGCTCCCCTCGCTCACTCTCTCTCTCTCTCTCTCTCTTTCTTTCTTGGGGGCATGAGGGCACGGGGCCCTCGCGCGATGCGCGCGCCCAAGCCTCTCTCTCTCTCTTTTTCGCTCTCTCGCTCTCTCTCTTTCTCTCTCGCGTTCTCTGTCCTTCTCTCTCTTTCTCTCTCCTTCTGTTATCTCTCTCTGTCTCTCTTTGTCTCTCTCTCTCTCTCTCCCTATCCCTTTCTTACCCCTCCAATCCCTAAACTCTACACCTCAGCCACCACCAAGGCAAGGCGCCCTCGCTTCGCAGCCGGCGGCCACGACACGGTGAGGAGCTCCTCGCCCGCCACCCGAAGCTTTGCGCCTGCGATGGCAAGGCTCCGATGGCTGCGGGCACATGAGGGTGTAGCTTCGACCTAAGCCCTCAAAAAGCCCTAAAGAGCCCAAACCCTTTTTTGCAACTGGGTTGGGGACTAGCCCTAAACCCTAGACCCTATACCCTAAACCGCTTAAAGTGGGTTGAGGAGTAGGAAGCTGGGGCGTCAAGCCTCGCAGTGCTTCAGAGCTCTCGGTGCTCTTGTCCCCCCTGGTTCTTAGAAGGGAATGAGGGAAACAGGTACTTCATATCCCCCCGCAAAAACAGCATACACACACATATATATATATATATATATATATTTGGATTCTATGGGTTACCTAATTTTCCTACAACTAGTAAGTTGTTCGGACCCCGCAAGCTCCGCAAAACACGTTGCGCAGGGGACCACGCTGCGATGAAGGCCCCGTAGCCAAAACGATGATGAGTGCTTTAGCGCAGGTTGCCAGTCCTAGCGTGACCATAATGTGACCGACAGATAAATATGCCCAGCAACCGCAAGAACAGTCCCCTCTCTCAGGGTATATGTGTATATGTAGATATATACATGTATCTATATACGTGCGTTTTATTCATGAACTTGTTTACGAAAAGTTGAGGAAACACTGTATGAGTAGGCCACCAGACGAGGTGCTGTGCACTTTGCCAGGTACCATAGGGGCCTTGCAGCAATAATTAGAATAGGGTTTTGGGGGAATGCGGGCGAAAGCCTGTCGAAGTCAACAATTAAAGAAGATGTCATCTGCATCCTCAGCAATAGCTCAGAGCACTGAACAGATCTACAACTTGCTGCAGATGGATTGCAGCAGTAAAAGCATTGCATCATATTTCTGTGACCAAAGGTCCAGAGTCTGTACAGGAATATCATGCGACTTAGGGCATCTTCGTGTGAGATTCCTAGGTTCAATCGAGTAATTAAGAAGTTTCTTGCAGCAAGCACATTCTTCAGCAGGAGCCCACACAGGTTCAAGCACATGTGTGCGGATGTCATTTTCAAGAAGCTGGCTCTGTTTGAATCTTTCAAGGCAGTCTTTAAACCTGGCAAGTCTTTTGCAAGCGGCATTGAAACGCTTAAGCGGTCCAGGCTTAGGTGGAAGGGCCCCACGAATTTCTTGCGCAGTCATAGAATTCCATTTTTCAAGTGTGACATGGGTGATGCAAGGGATGTTTTTGTGAACCCCTTGATTGCAATCATTACGGAGATCAAAAATCTGATCGACCCAAGGAAGGCGAAATTTGGAAGACAACCTGGGGACAGGCCAATCTTTACACAGCGGAATGGTTTTGGGGGTTACTATAGTATTGTAAGCTATAGGGGCCAGAAGGGAAAGTTTTCGTACTTATTCCGACCCCTAAACCCTAAACCCTAAACCCTAAATCCTAAACCCTAAATCCTAAACCCTAAACTAGTAGAGGCTGCTTTTGCTCTGCTTGTAGGGCTCCTGGTGTGCCACTCCCAAGCCTCGGGGGCCGCCGGTCGTCCAGGCGACGTCACCGCGACCGTCACCCAGATCGTGCGCCTTCGGTACTGAGTTTTAGGTTGCAGGGATTAGGGTTTATAGGGTATAGGGTTTAGGGTTTAGGATTTAGGGTTTGGGGTATTTGTTTTGTTGTTGCTTTTGCACGTTTTAGGTTGCAGGGTTTAGCCCGTGATCGCCTGTGTGTCTTCACACCTGGATGACATCCCCTGCAGGGATTCTACCCCATTGGGTCCTGATCGGGAGTTGAAGTATCCAAGCTCCTTCTAGCAGCAGCCTCGTGTTCGAAATTCGAGGGGCTATGGTTGTGATTACCTGACGCACTAGCCCTAAACTCTAAACCCTAAACCCCAAACCCTAAACCCTAAATAGCTGTATACACTGTTCTCAGGCGGAACAACCCAACCCCAATTCATAAACCCAAGTGGAGCTGAGGCCCCTCTCCTCCACGCCTTTGGAAGACTTAGGGGTGCATGGGTTTAGGGTTTGGGGTTTAGGGTTGAGGTTCAGGGTTTAGGGTTTAGGGTTTAGGGTTTAGGGTTTAGGGTTTAGGGTTTAGGGTTTAGGGTTTAGGGTTTAGGGTTAGGGTTTAGGGTTTAGGGTTTAGGGTTTAGGGTTTAGGGTTTAGGGTTTAGGGTTTAGGGTTTAGGGTTTAGGGTTTAGGGTTTAGGGTTTAGGGTTTAGGGTTTAGGGTTTAGGGTTTAGGGTTTAGGGTTTAGGGTTTAGGGTTTAGGGCTGCAGTGCTTGAGGCATTTCAGTCTTGCATCTTCCCATAATCATATTTTCAATACAAACCAGCTCTATAACACCAGACAACTCAAACCCTTCTGCAAAAGCCAAGGCCGAAACTAGCTGATCAGCGAAATGCTGGAGCCAGTGCGCCAAGCCCATGCCTGCCATTGGAGCGTTTACCCTAAAACCTATACCCTAAACCCTAAACCCTAAACGCTTAAGGCTAAGGACGGGCTGTTGAGGCTTAGTTGTCCAGCACCCTGGGGAAAATAAAGGTCAACCTTTGGGATCACACAGGGGTTATAATGCCCCAAAGAGGTTCCCTCATGAACCCCCTCCCTTAAGGACCGTAAACCCTAAACCCTAAACCCTAAACCCGTGTACTCAGGGGGCAGGCTTAGGGGGAGGTTGAAGCGGGCCGACGATTGTCTTGGAGATTTGCCCCTGGGCTCCCTGCACCTACGAGTAGACTACTGTTTGCTTCAGAACCCCCTCCCCAAGAAAAACCAAACAAACTCTTCCTCATTATAAGGGCAAAATAAGCCTTATTGTTCTGTTTTTTTTTTTTTTTTTTTTTTGGGGGGGGGGGGGAGGGTTCTTAAGCACATAGCAGTAGAAAGCCTAGTTTCCAACCAAAGAAGGAGGGCCATCTCCTCATCTCGCCGTGGCGAGCATAGCTGAAGCCTTCTGATGTCAATGAACCGTTGTAGTGTGCTATAGTTTGGGATGTTCCCCCTTACACTAACAGTCCTTCATAGGGGCTTAGAGTAGGGGGTACTATAAACCCTATAGTACCCCAAGCACTACCGTTCTTAGCTAGGATGGCCCTTAAGACCCTATGAAGAGTTCTTGAAGATAATCCTCTTAAACCCAACAAGGGAAAATGTGGCATATCCCAAGGGCCTATCTGGAATGCAGGATTCCGAAAGGAGAAAGCACCAACAACCCTTCAGGTCAGAGAGCAACAGTCGCTTGCCAACCCCCGGACCCAGAAACGAGCAAATGGAGATACACAGGTTGGAAAGGTGACGTTTGACACATTTTCATGTTCATGAAGAGAGAAAGAGTGAGAGAGAGCGAGAGCGAGTGAGGAGACGGACAGAGCGAGAGCGAGTGAGGAGACGGGGAGAGCGAGGGAGAGGGAGACGGAGAGAGCTAGACTGGGAGGTCAGACCACAAGGCGCTTGCACAGCCTCTTTGCCGCGGCCCAGCAGCCGGAGCGCAGGCAGACGCGACGCGGAGCTGCTAAAGGCAACAAGTGCGTGGGTTGTTGCTATCGTCTGCTGTTGTTTTTTCATGCTGGGCAGCTAGTCCTACGTGGGTTTAGGGTGTAGAGGGCAGTAGAGGGCTTACGAAACCGCGTAAAACCCTAGGCCCTGGCAAGGAGCATCTTGGCCATGGTGGAGAGTGTGAAATGTTGTCTACGTCTGTGCTTTCACAAGTGCGTGGCCGTCTTTGGTACTGCAGGGGCCTAAATGATTAGAATTGGGTTTTGGGGGGTTATTACAGTATTATTTATAACGTAAGTATAAAGACCCCTACATTAGATCGAGCTCTCTGGTGCGTGGTCGCCTTTGAGCCCCCGTGCCTGCGGATGCACGAAATTTCTCCCACTCTGCAGCTACCACGTCCGGTTCCTTTTGTCGCACATCTCACTCGAAGGCATAGAGGTGAGAACGCGCTCGCGTAACCCTGGCCCTGCATGAACCGATCAGGTGCCCGATGGAACACTACCGTATGCAGAGCGCCTAAACTTTGTGCTGCCTTTTTGGCCTGAGAGTCCCCTCAGGAAGGGCCTCCTGAAACCTTTGCATTGCCCTAAACCCTAAACCCTAAACCCTAAACCCTAAGTGTGTGGAACTCATGACAGCTGGCGGGCCTGGCCTTCGCAGACGGGGCCGCCTCCTCATAGCATGTCGAGCCTTGCAAGGGCAGGTTTAGGGTTTAGGGTTTAGGGTTTAGGGTTTAGGCTCGTAGCCCTAGCCCTCAGCAGCCGGCTACTGCTACTGCCCGCCAGCATTCAAGGCTCCGAGGAAATGACCGGGGCATCCCAATACTTTTCGAAATCCCACACTCCAAGAAAGCCCAGACACAAACCTTCCGGAACCGCGCGTGTGTGTGTGTGTGTGTGTGTACGCATGCACACGTGTATGTATGCAGACATGTACGCATACCTAAACACATACATACATACCAGCATACATGAGTACTATGCGTACTGAAAAAAACTCTTTATCAAATGTGGCTTTGTGGTTGTTCGTGCGTTGCTGTTGTTTCCGACTTTGTTTTTGGGAGCAGGGCTGGCAACACCAATCCTCTCGCCAATGTGAATACCTGAGTGCGAAGCTCTAACTTCCACCTCGACAGAACCCCTCCCTCTGGAACTCACCACAAGCACGACCCACACATCCCCGAAACGACCTCTGAGACGTTACAAACCACATGCATGGCCCCGAACTCCAGTGACAAGCCCTCTACTTTCACTCATTCTCTCTCTCTCTCTCTCTCTCTCTCGCGCTCTCTCTCTCTCTCTCTCTCTGCTTTTCAGTCTTTCTTAAGAAAGGAACAAACCCAGCTACATCCTTTTGCCGAGCCCCTCCAGTTATCAAGAAACCTTCTCCTGCCAGCTCCATGATAAGAGAGGCGCACGACATGGAGGTCTACGAAAATAGGGGATCCCTAAAACAGACCCCCGAGTAGAAGGATGCCCTCATAGAAAGGACCCCCAATAAGGTACCCATAAACCCTAAACCCCAAACCCTAAACGCTAAACCCCAACCCTTAACCCTTAACCCTAAGCCCTAATTTCGGAAAGCATATAAACTGGCACCTTGTTGGTGGCTGGTGGCAGCTGCCGCAGAGGGCTCCGTGGTGTCGGACGCCATGTCGGCAAGGGCAAAAGCGGAAAGTGCGGGGTGCTCAGGGCAGCATCGTCTTTTGGGGGGTTTATAGGGTTTACCCTAAACCCTAAACCCTAAACCCTAAACCCTTTTGGAGGTTCCTGTATGAAAAGTTGGGGCATACTGAGGGTTCTTAGTGGGAAGGACCCACTTGTGCTTGGGTGGGATAGGGGGTTCGAGGCTGTGGTTCCCTAATACCTCCAGAAACTGGCGCCACAAGACTTGTGTCGTCAGATGTGACAAACTCTGGACAAACTACCAGTTTAGGGTTTAGGGTTTAGGGTTTAGGGTTGAGGGTTTAGGGTTTAGGGCAGCCTTCTGGACTTGCATGACCCTGCATGAGAAACCCATGGTGTTCCATGAGGTCGCCAGGACCCTGCTGCTGCAGAGTGGCGAGCTTGAACCGTACTGCCCCTCAGCATCTACGAAGCTTGACCCCTTACCAGACACCAGATACCTGACGTTCACGCGCAGGGCCCACCAGTACCTGACCAACATCAGTCAAACGGGGCTTAGGGTTTAGGGATAAGGGTCTAGGTACCACAAGCTGAAGAGTGGCCCACATGGCCCAACTCAACCGAAAGAAGTGCAGACCTTCTCAGACTGCGCCCCAAAGCAAAACCCCTCAAGCCCAAAGCAGGACCTCCTTCGAGCCGCTCTGCCACCAAAGCTGGGGAAAGTGCCGGAAGCACTGTTAAGAGAGGCGGGGTCTCAAAGGCCATTGGACTGTGTAGGGCTTCTATGTTCTCATCACACCGACGCAGAGTAGGTTCGGTTTGGGGCTCTTCAAGGTTTCTACACTAGTATTTCTTAGCACTCTTTGCATGCTTGCGAGTTGTACGGCTGCTTAAACCTACCTGCTATCGAAAGCTCCTTCTTGTGCCTCTCCGCCTTTTTTGGGGAGTTGGAGTGCCGGATTCTGATACAGCTGTTGCGAGATGCCAAGTTTCGTTGCAAGGCAACCAGTCCAGGGTGACTGAACGGAGGAGCTGACATCTTGTCATGGGCCGAAGCCAGAGCCTGTCAAGCATCGAGCATATCATGGCGAAGAGAACCCGCCAGGGAGCCTCTGCAATTGCAGATAAGATGGGCTGCTGAATTCCATGCATGAATTTCGGGGTGATGCCCCAAAAACCCCCGGGGGTGGAGATCTAGGAGGCTGATCTTGGAAGCGTGTTGGCCTGCGAGCATGTACCACGGTGGGCTTATCTCATACATATAGACATATTTGTATGTATATGTATATGTACGTAATTATATAGTGATACATATATATATATATATACATCTGTATTTTTATACTGAAAAAATCATACCATAGCCCTGACATGGGATGAACCCCATTGCCCGAAACCCTTCAAGCCCAGCCAGGTCTTGGGAATTCGGGGCGAAGAAAGCTGAATGCTCAACACGTCTCTGCACCCCAAACCCTAAACCCTAAACCCTAAACCCCAAACCCTAAACCCCAAACCCTAAACCCTAAACTCTTAACCCTAAACCCTAAATTGGAAAGGAGTCGCCCCCTCCATCCCCCATGAGATCCCCACTCCTGGGGAGCGGCATCCTCTTGCGTGTAGGAGAAGCCTGTGAGTACGGGTCCCTCCATCCCAGAAATTAATACCCTCAACCCTAAACCCCAAACCCTATTATAAACCCTAAACCCGCATATGCCATGACCCCCTGAATCGCTTCTCCTGTGTCATGGCGCAGGGGGCTCTCCGACGGCGTGGGCCCACGTCGCATGGCGGTTGGGTTCCGAATGGGCGCTGCGCACCGCCCCTCTGGCAATTCGTGTCCGGACTTTGTTCAGGTTGCACACAAGAGCGACTGGCCACTTCTTCAGGTTACACACAAGAGTGGCTTGCCTGTTCTTCAGGTTGCACACAAGAAGTTTTTCAGGGGTTCAGAACAAGAACCGGCCACAAAAACCAGGATGGTTTGGGGGCTCTAAACCCTAAACCCTGCTAAAGCCCTTAAACCCCAAACCCCCTAAGCTCCCTAAACCCTAAACCCCCTAAATAAACCTGCAACCCCTGCGCGGGGCTACGCCCCGGGGCTGGTGGGAACTCGGTGGTTCGTAGAGGATACCTTAAGAACCCGAAAACCCACTTAACCCACTTATGTGTAGGCCATGACTATAAACCTCTTATAGGATTCCTAGGAAGCCTACAAGAAAGTAAGTTTTGCGTTCTCAGGGTAAAAATATAAAATACAAATACACATGTATCTATACAAGGTAGAGAACTATGCATATATATA